TATAAATTTGTATTGTGAGAAATTTAAAGGAATCGAAAAGTCAACAACATGTCAAGGTCCATCAATAAAGATACCAAGCAATCAAAGGCACCTAGCAGACAAATATACTCAACAAACACAAAATATTGACTTTTTAAAATAAAAGAAGGCAACTATCATAGTATATTCTTGAACTCCAAAAATTAACAATCGAAATTAAATATTTCAAAAACAATTATGTAGACCTATATTCTAGTAGTATGTATCCATGGAGTTTATCTTTACCTTCATTTTTGTTTCTAAAATCCTCTCTTTTTCAACAAAAAAAAATCAGTAAAAAGATAACATTTAGTTTTTAAAATACATCAAAGCAGATCAAAAGTAGTCCAAAAAAATTTTCATAGTAAAGAAGAAAATAAATTAAGTAGAACAAAAAGAAAATCCACAAAAAGCAAGATTATAGATAGATCCTAAGCAATTACCTGGTAATTTTTATTTTTATTTTTTTGAAATTGACTTAAGATTTTGTTAAAGATGAAAAATCCAGCTGAAAGAAAACTCCAATTTGAACTTCAAGGAAATGGATAGTTTGCACTCATACAAAAACTTTTGATTCACGTAAATAATTTGTACTAACTTTTTAGCATTCTTCAGAAAAAATAATGTGAATTACTGCCAACTTTGTTGTTTGCTAGTTGAATTTGTGCCGTGTAAAACAATTTTTAATATACAAAAACTTTTGCAGTCATTTTTTGGCATATTCCAAGTAGACTTGTGTGATTGGTTTGTTGAACTCATTTACTATTTCATTTAATTCTTCACGAACTTGGTTGGTTAAGTATAGATTTGTTGTTATCTATAAAATTTTTTTAAAAATAATCATTAGTATTATTAAGATAATAAAAATACACTAAAAAAAGTATACAAATCAAATTTCTCAAAAATTAGTAACAAAAAAGTAAACAAAATGCATTTACCTAGAATTAATTTCATCTTATTTACTAATTTAATAATTTAAATAAACAAAAATAATAATAATTACAAATGATGTGCGGAGCAACTCCGCACAAAGTGCGGAGTCTTCATACAAATGTGCAGAGTCTGTGCAGAGTTGTTCTGCACATTGTGCCATACTCCGGAACCTCTTTTTTTGTTAGAAATCATGCAACCTAATATTTGTCTATAATAATTGAAATTTGACTTCTACAATTTTTTGTTTATTATTTTATTAGCTTAAAAATATGCATTAAAGTGAAAGATTTACTATGATAATATGATAAAAAATTACAACATTGAATTTTCTTTATTTTTTATATAGTAATTCAGAAAATCAATATAAAATAAATTTATTTTATATTTTTATAAAAAAAACTGTAAATCTAATAAAAAAGTATAATTAGAAGAATAAATTTAGCTGAAAAAAACCCCTCAAAAATAAAAAGGAAAGAACCATTGCATTGTCAGAAGAGAAACAAAATACCAAAAACAAAAGCGATATGAATCTAAAATAATAAGAAGAAGACAAAAAATGAAAAAGTAAGTGAAAGAAAACTAACGTGCGAAAAAGAAAAAGAACCAATCCTGCCAAAGAATCACAAATAAAGGAAACTGCAAAAAAATTAACAACAATTACCTGGTCAATTGTTGTTGAAATTAGCAATTTCCTGAAAGAAAGCTCCAATTTGAAATAAATGAATAGTAAAATATATTATTGATTGCACTATACATACAATAACTTTACCACTGAAATTTAAAAAAAATTGTAGTGATTTTTGGCTTTTTCCAAAAACATTCACATGATTGTTACAATCATTTACTATTTCATCTAATTCTTCACAAAATTGGCAGGTTAAGAGTATAGATTTATTGTTTGGTGTTGAAATTTTTTTAAATAATCATAATAAATCTTTTTGTTACACTAATAATTTTTTTTTTTACAAATAGCATAAAAATGTAAAATCAGTTTAATCTTCAACAAAAAAACACATTTAACTAAAATTATAGTATTAGCAATTTCATAACCACTCTTTTTTTATTTATTCCCAAAGCAAGAAATACAATTATATAAAAAGAAAACAATATTGAATTACAATATTTAGTATTTAAGAAATTCAATATCAAATTATACATTTATAACAAATTATAAAACAAATCAATATTTTCTTTTACGTTAATGAAAGTATATAATTAAAAGAATATGTCTAACTTTAAGATAACGCAAAAACAAGAAAGCAAACTCTCAAAAAAGAATCACTTCATTGCCAAAAACGAAAGTCAGACAAACATAATAAACGCAATACAAAGAAGAAGAAAAAAACTGTAAAAAGAAAAATTAACCTATGAAAAAAAAAAAGAATCATGTCAAAGTATCTAAACAAAATACATATCAAAAGTAAAATGACAGAAATGTATCACTTCTTATTCTTCTACTATTTCATTTAATCCCTTTCATCTCTCAATTTACAGAACAAATTTAACCTCTTCCATCTTCCATCTCAAGTTAACACGGCAAAAAACCAAATCTAAAGAAAGAATGTAGTTTTTTTTTTTTTTAATTTAAATTTTACTTAGGTTGGAAGTTTGATGCTTATCTATTAATAAAAATATCTCTACTTATCTAAATTATATTTGTTATATTTAATAACTTCATATTGAAAACTTGAATGTGTGAAACCATTTGATGATTTTTCGAGATTTTAAACTTTCAATTCTACATATTTAACGTTTTCCTATGTATATATAATCAGACGATATAATAATATTATGATTAATGAAATTCTGTTTGTAATTTTCTTTTATCCATTTTCATCAACTAAGCATTATTTTCTATATTATAGACATTGCCTTTGGGGAAAAATCAGTGAAGAAAGTAAATTTATAGGAGATAAATATACCAGAAGAAAAAACATAGATTTCTTTGACAATGCATTCACAAAATTACAAGTTTTTTCTCATGCTTTTGACCTTTTCAATTTTGAATTAATTATTTCACTCAACCTAAATTTGTATTGTTAATGTTAAATTTGTGTTTTTTCCTTCACTAATCCTTATCATGTCAGGCATGGATGTACCACACCGTTTCTTTCGAATTCTTGACACTTCTTTAAACCATAACATTCGACTGGTAAGTCTTATTATAATGCTTATACTTTCGTAAAACTAATAAAATCATATATCAGCTAAAAATATTTTTATTTTTCATTGTATAGTTGCTTCCAAGATCTTTTGTCGAATCAGGACATGAACTTGTCAACAGAATACGTTTAATTGGATACGATGGTATAATTGCTACCATACAGCTAGAATGAGTTCACAATGACATTTATCTAGCTGGTGGGTGGGAACAATTTTCGACCATCACAATTTACAAGATGGTTATGTTATTATGTTCGAATATATTGGAAAATCTACCTTCAATGTTTCAATATTTGACGATTCACAGTTAGAAGTAACTTATGATACATACCACTCCGACTCCGAAGTTGTTGAAGAAGAGACTCCATATAGGAAATTCTGACTTTAGACTAACATTAAGACGTAATGACAATCGCAAAATTGTAAGTTTTCTTTTACTGGTTTTCCACAATTTTAAATTTCCTTGTTCGCTCATTTTTATTTTTACTTTTTAGTATGTACCTTCAAGATTCAGTGGAGAATATCTACCCAAAATTATACGAAGTGTTCGAATTCATGACTCTCCACATCTCAACTGGCTTGTTTTTACGAGTTTGACAACAAATGGTGACGTACGATGTTTCACCATAGTTTGGTCACATATGCCAGAGAGAAACAAATTCAAATAGATGACACATACATGTTTGAATTGCTATAACAAACTCTCAGTGTTCATGGTACACAAAGCATGCAATGATGGATCCATTACTTCTCTATAAATTAATTTATTGTTATTCTGTAATAAACTTTGTGGTTGAATCTTCAATTTTCCAATGCAAGTATTTTCCAACTTATTTGGACTTACACGAGATTTAGAAACATAATCTTCAGATTCAACTCAATCATATCAACACTGTCAAACATTGAATGTCAATAATACAAGCAAAATAGTTTGTGTAAACTCATATATTTTTTATTCAAGCATATTTTTTTTAGACGTGACAAAATATTGTTATGCAATTATAAACCAGTAATAATTTGCAGCAATTATTTTCTTATATCATGGAAACATTTCTAGATATTGCTTAAAAAACATTCCAAAAAATTAAAATTTATACGCTAATAAAGATACGATAAATACAAAATTCGTGCAACACACGTGACAGCAACTAGTGATGGAAGAAAATAGAAGAATTGATGTGGTAATGCAGACCAATGATGAGTTGTGTAATAAGAGTTAATACAAAAGTTTAAATAATTGTTGAGAAAGGAATCTTATTTATTTTACTCGTGTATTTGGACTTGGTGTTCTCAATCATTAAACAAAAAATACAATACGAAAAAACCAAATAAGAAAAGAAAGAAAGAAAGCTTCCTAACACTATGCAATAACAAAAAACAGCAAGATATTGCATGAAAAAAAAAATCTCATTTCTCCTCCCAATGCCTAATGAGAGAAGAATAATCAAGATAATAACAAACAAAAGAATGATTCTAAAACAAGCCCATTTCCTAGTAATTCTGGTGTTTCCTAGCCACCTCCAGCTGAGAAGTGATCGTTAATTTTTGAGATGTTGAATTGAAGTGGGTCTAATAATGAAAAAGTGACATTATGGAGTTGTGTTGAAGGGAGAATGAGGAATTGAAGTAGAGAATTGAAGGGTGAATCAATTTGAATGGTTGAGAGAGGACCTGTCCAACGAGTCGACTGACTGAATGGTTTAACAAATATAGTTTTGCTACACTTATGATTTTGTTAACATTCTATGATGTGCCATGCAATTTGGTTGCTTACTTGAATAACACTTACTCAAATCAATGGGTCAGATTTTTTACACGTCATGAAATGTCAACTAAAATGTACAAAATAAATGTACAAGTAACTTAATTCTAACGAATAATTTTCTTCATGGAAGAAGCAAAGACAAGAGAGACAAGTCAACCGATGCAGATGGATAAGAGTGAAAGTCAAAATTGACTTTTGTTACAGAAATTGAAGGTTGGTAGGTCGGGGGATTCCTAAATCCTATTATTGTCCTGCAAAGAAACCATTTTGGTAAATGCTAAGCTACCACTCTTTAACTGGCATCTCATTCATGCAACTTGATTAAAAATGGGACAATTAACAAGTTTTTCTAGATCATTACACTCAGTGGAAAAGGACTTCCTCATTTATAACTGTTCAGTCATATTCAATTTCGTGTACTAATCAGAGTCTACGATGGGAGAAAATGGGTTTTATGAACAGAAATTTAATAAGGATAAAATATTAGATAAAGCACGGTGTTTAAATGACACGTATTATCTAAAAATCCAGGAGACTTGCATAGTGGACACTGTTTATGTGTTCTGATACGGCACAAAATCTAAATCTCCAGTCTCTTGATTATAGAGACATAAAAGGCCATCCTCTTCAATAGTCCAAACACATTTGGTAGCACACCTATCAACATCATGTTTATATGAATATGCAACAAAGTGGTGCCAATTTGAATCATTCCACATCACAGTACAGTAAAAAAGAGTAGTCCCCCAAATATTAACATTGAAACTCCAATCAGCTTCAAAGCCATCGGGTATTTTACGAAAACCAAGATCATTATCCCGTGGCTTGCAATGGATATTCAAAATCCTTTCGTGTCCCAGACGATTTACAACACTTGCGCCGACTCTATCTAGCACCATTGATTCAGACAGCCTCAAAACCAGAAAAAGAACGAGAGCACATGTTTTAGACATAACAATGTTTTTTATCATTTTTTGTGAGTTGTTACGACAAATGGTAATAGCTCCCTTTATACTTTCATGAAGGCCGGGTGCGGTGAGGCGGGTTTATGTTGTCATGCAAAGAGAACACAAGACTAGCTAGCTCTCTACTACTGTCTGTTCATTCTTGAACACCATTTTTTTTAACCATATAAGTTTCATTTTTTACAGATTTCACCTCCCAATTCTATCAAAAAATTAACTGCAGTAACCTTTAATTTAATATGACAATAGGTCTCATATTGCCAAACAAGAAAAGAATATGATAGAACATTGTATCTTAATTTAATCAGGAATAAGAAATCTTAGTAAAATTAGGTAAGTCATTGCCCCTCTGTCATTTATTTTGATTGCACAAAGACAACTTCTATGTCAAGTTTGGTGGCGAACCAAGCAAGAATTTAGTCTTAAGAAAGGAGGGAGGGAAAAAAAAAACTACAATCTTATTCATAGTACTGTCCTAAAACGTAAAAATGAAAAAATCTCACTTTTATTGTTTAATATTAACTACTGTTCATTTTCTAAATGTAAAAAATGAATGTGCTAGAGTTCATCGATTTAACTCTCATTGCCCACCTGCCATTAATTTTGGTGCACAAAGACAACTTCTATGGCAAGTTTGGTTGGGTGAACAAAGCAAGAATTCACAGAGTATTGAGAAAGAAGAGAAGAAAAAAAAAGTACAATCTTATTCATAAAGTATTGTCCTAAAACATAAAAATTGTTATAAATGGAAAGTTCATTAAAGTTTATTGGTGAATGACATTTGTATCCTTGTAGCCCTAGAAATTATTACCATTTTATCCCTAATTCTTACCTATAAATATAGGGTTTTAATTTTCAATAATACATACAAAAGGTTTATTGAGTTTTCTCTATTGTCTTTGAGTTTTCTCTATTCTCTTTTCCTCTCATTTTATAACACGTTATCAGCACAAAACTCTTAGAAAGTAGTAATTTTTTTTTTGCATAATTATCTATCACGTATATTAAAATTAATTTGATAATACGTGAATTTTACATATACATATGTTGAATCTACAATACGTGATCTCATCTTTCTCGATCATTATGTTTTCTTTATACCTCTCTTTGAATTAATTAATATTTTTTTCCTTTACATCAATCCACGTGCATTTTTATGGAGATATATTTATGTTAAATCAATTGATATGCATTAATTCATGTTCTTATACCCTCCTTATATTTAGATTAGCTCTTTACGTTCTACACATACTTATAATTTTTTTTGGTTTAATTGGTCAATGTTCTTTGTAAGCAAGCTTCAATTCCAAATCTCTATTTTGGCTGATTCCATATATATATATATATATAATATACAATTAACAAATAACTGTGCCCAACTCATCTTTTCTCTCAAATCCATTGGTTTCTGCAAATTTCATGCCTTAATTGGTTAATACTAATTCAATTCTTTTAATTGCACATAATTAGAATTTCGTGCCATAATATGTAAATAGATTTCTACATGTCACCAATTTTTTTTTGTGTTTCACCCGACTCACGTTATTAATTCAAAATAATATTTTATATGTGTTTGTATATTAATTAATGGTGAACAATTGGATGTATTATTATTTTTTTTATGTTTAGTTATGAAATATTACATTAAATTTATTTTTAATTGTTGTTGCTCCTGAAGCAGCACAACATTATAATTAATATTTCAGAAGAATATTAATCATAGATCTATTCGTTGTTGCTCTAAAAGTAACACAACATTATAAGAATATTATTTGCATCTGAAGAGCATAAATTATAACTCTCAATATTCCAAAAGAATATTGACATATTACACTTGAAGAAATAATAGCAAAATATAATGTGCTCCAGAAGTAGCATATGTTTCGAAAAACATATTATTTCAAATTAGTGTTTATCCCTAGAGGAAAACACGTAACTTAAAGTCATATTGATATTGACTATTTGATTAACATGTGATAATTAATCATATTCTTCGAAACTAATTGTATTTTTTATTGTGTAGTTAAACAAATGGCAAACATTACGAAACTTGAATTTGCTGCACTTGACATATCTGGTAAAAATTATTTGTCATGGATACTGGATGCTGATATCCATCTCGTCTCAGAGGGTTTGGGAGAGACAATAAAAGAAGGAAACAATGAATCCATGCAGGATCGTGCAAAAGCACTCATTTTCCTCCGTCACCATCTTCACGATAGATTAAAAATTGAATATCTCACTGAGAAAGATCCACGAGTTCTTTGAAAAAGTTAACTGAAAGATTTGATCATCAGAGGACTATAGTCCTCCCCAAAGCCCGTTATGAGTGGATGCACCTTCGTTTGCAAGACTTTAAAATGGTTAGTGAGTACAATTCTGAATTGTTCAGAATATGTTCAAAGTTGACTTTGTGTGGAGAAAAAAATCACCGATGAAGATATGTTGGAAAAAACTTTCTCCACCTTTCATGCTTCGAATGTGCTCCTGTAGCAGCAATATCGTGAGCGTTGCCTCAAAAAGTACTCAAAACTTATATCTTGCCTACTAGTTGTTGAACAAAATAATGAATTGCTGATGAAAAATCATGGATTATGTCCAACTGGTTCTGTACCATTGCCTGAAGCAAATGGTACTATATTGTCTGAAGCAAATACAATATCAAGACAAGGACGTGGACGTGGACACGGACACGGACACGGACACGGACGTATACGTGGAATAAATCATGGAAGAAATAATCAACAACAAGGCAATAAATTCAAAAAGCACAAAGCAAACGAGAGTGACAAATCTAAAAAGGAGCATGAAGAAAGTTGCTTCAGATGTGGAATGAAAGAGCATTGGGCACGTACGTGTCGTACCTCAAAATATCTTGTGGATCTCTACCAGAGATCAATCAAGAGAAAAGAAAAATTGAAGACTAATTTTACTGATTATGATGGTCCAATTGATGTGGCTCATTTAGATGTCTCCGATTTCTTTACTGATCCAAATGGAAATATTGACGATTTGGTTGGGGGTGATGTGATAGAAGATATAGATTAATTTACTAGTATTTCTTTCGTTTTAAAAATTCAGTCTGAAATATGTTTTTACTTTTCCGCACAAAAAAATAAAAAAATAAAACTCTATTATGCACCGTTTATTTCATGATATTAAGTAATGTTTACTTCTTTAAATCTAAATTCAAATTTTTTTTATTTTGTTTATTTTGTTATATTTATAGATTCATGATGGATAGTCAAAACAAGTACTTAATTGATAGTGCAACTACACATACTATTTTTCAAGACAAAAAATACTTTTTGGACTTAATATTAGCTGAAAATAATGTTAACACGATATCGGGCGCGTCGAATATCGTTGAAGGCTCCGAAAGAGCTTGTATTAATTTACCAAATAATACAAAATTATATATTGACAATACATGAGAAATTTGCTTAATTTTAAAAATATTCGGTGCAATGAATATCACATTGAGACGATACAAGAAAATAATGTTGAATATTTTTGCATCACTTCTTTTGTATCTGGCAAGAAGCAGATAAAACAAAAATTTCATGCACTCCCGTCTGGCATGTATTTTACATTTATAAAAATGGTCGAATGAAATAATGTTACGAACCAGAAGTTCGTTGATTCAAAAAGTTTTATACTTTGACATGATCGACTTGGACATCCAAGAGCCATAATGATGTGTCGAATAATAAACAACTCACATGGACATCCTTTAAAGAATCAGGACATTCTTTTATCTAATGATTATCCATGTGTAGCTTGTTCGCAAGACAAGTTAGGCATTAGACCTTCAACTACAAAGGTCAATATTGAATCTCCAACTTTCTTGAAAAGAATACATAGAGATATATGTGGGCCAATACACTCACCATGTGGACCATTTCGTTACTTTATGGTATTAATTGATTCTTCTACAAGATGATCACATATTTGCCTACTTTCAACTAGAAATGTATCATTTGCTAGACTACTTGTTCAAATCATAAAATTGCGAGTACAATTCCCTGATTACTCAATCAAGACTATTCGTCTTGACAATGCTGGTGAATTTAGATTACAAGCATTTGATGATTATTGTATGTCAATTGGGATTGAAATTGAACATTCAGTTGCACATGTTCATACACAAAATGGTTTAGCGGAATCGTTTATTAAACGTCTATAACTTATTGCTAGATCATTACTTATGTAAACAAAACTCCCAACTTCTGTTTGGGGTCATGTCATATTACATGCTGCATCATTGGTTCGTATAAGACTAACTGCCTATCATCAATATTCACCTTTGTAACTTGCATTTGATCATGAACCTGATATTTTTCAACTACGAGTTTTTGGTTTTGTTGTCCAAGTTCCTATTTCACCCCCACAACGTACTAAAATGGGTCCCCAACAAAGACTTGGGATTTATGTGGGTTTTGATTCACCATCTATTATTAAATATCTTGAACCTTTAACGGGTAACTTATTTACTGCACATTTTGCAGATTGTCATTTTGATGAAATGACTTTCCCAACTTTGGGAGGAGAAAAACTACATCCTGAAAAACAAGATAGAATTTCTTGGAATGAGACAACTCTATCTCACTTTGATCCCCGCAGCAATCAATGTGAACAAAAGGTAGAAAAAATCATTCATTTGCAAAAAGTTGCAATTCAACTACCTGATGTATTTGTTGACACGAAAAAAGTGACAAAGTAATATATTCCAACAGAAAATATTTCAGCAAAAATTAATGTCCTTGCAAGACAATCTGCTGTGGCAAATGAATCTCAAATACGCCAGAAGCGTGGTCGACCAGTTGGTTGAAAAGACTCTGTACCTCGAAAAAGAAGAGTACAGGAGAAAAACCAACCAAAAACTTCAAAAAAAATCACATTAGAAAAAATTGATCAATCAAATATTGAATGTACGGTTCCTGAAGACTAGAGGTGTTCGAAAATAATGAGATCTCAATAAATTATATGATATCTCATAAATTATGGGAACGGAATAATATTGTTATAGACAATATTTTCGCCTTTAACATGACTCTTGATATTATGCAAAATGAGGATCCTAAACCACAGTCTGTTAATGACTGTCGAAATAGAAGTGATTGGCCAAAATGGAAAGAAGCGATACAAGCAGAATTGAATTCTTTGGAGAAACGAAAAGTGTTTGGACTAATAGTTCGAACACCTGAAAATGTAATCTCTGCTGGATACAAAAGGGTTTTTGTACGAAAGCGAAATGAAAATAATGAAATTACAAGATACAAAGTCCGATTAGTGGCTCAAGGTTTCTCCCAAAGACCGGGAATTGATTATGAGGAAACATATTCTTCCGTAATGGATACCATCACTTTTAGGTTCTTAATTAGTTTGACCGTGTCACAAGGGCTCGATATGCGCCTTATGGATGTAGTAACTGCCTACCTATATGGTTCACTTGACAAAGATATATATATGAAAGTCCCTGAAAGATTTAAGGTGCCAGGAATAAATGATATATGTCTGAGAACTATGTTCTCAATTAAATTGCAAAAATCATTATATGGATTGAAACAATCCGGACGCATATAGTATAATCGTCTTAACAAATATTTATTGAAAGAAGGTTATAAAAATGACGATATCTGCCCATGTGTTTTCATAAAGAAAACAAATATTGGATTTGCAATTGTGGCAGTTTATGTTGATGATTTAAATTTAATTGGAACTCGTGAAGAGCTCAACAAAATTACAGATTATTTGAGAAATGAATTTGAGATGAAAGATTGGGGGAAAATCAAATTTTGTCTTGGATTACAAATTGAACATTTTCTAGAGGGATTATTTTTTCATCAATCTACTTATACAGAAAAAGTCTTGAAACGCTTTTATATGGATAATGCACATCCATTGCCATCACTTATGGTTGTTCGATCACTTGATGTGAAAAAAGATCCATTTCGTCCACTTGAAGATGGAGAAAAGATTCTTGATCCTGAAGTATCATACTTTAGTGCAATTGGAGCATTAACTTATCTTGTAAATTGCATTCAACCTGACATAGCTTTTTCTGTAAATCTCCTTGCAAGATATAGCTCTATACCAACTCAAATGCATTGGAATGGTGTTAAACATATTTTTCGTTACCTAAAAGGTACTATTGATATGGGACTATTTTATTCTCAAAAGTCAGGATCTGCTTTAGTAGGATATGCAGATACAGGTTATCTCTCCGATCCACATAAAACTAAATCACAAACAAGACATGTGTTTACACGTGGAGGAACAGCTATATCATAGAGATCTGTGAAGCAATCCTTGACGGCAATATCCTCAAATCATTCTGATATTATTGCAATCCATGAAGCAAGGCGAGAATGTGTGTGGTTGAGGAATATGACCCATCATATCCAATTATCATGTGGATTGACTTCAACAAAAGATAGTTCAACAAATTTGTTTGAAAATAATGCAGCTTGTATCGCACAACTCAAAGGAGGCTATATCAAAGGCGACAGGACGAAGCATATTTCTCCAAAATTCTTTCATACACATGAACTTCAGAAGAATTGTGACATTGATATTCAACAAATTCGCTCAAGTGACAATGTAGCTGATCTATTCACAAAAGCGCTGTCAATATCTACATTCAAGAAATTAGTTCATGAGATTGGAATGCGTCAACTCAAAGATTTTCAGTGATCGACATCAGGGGGAGTAGCTGTACTCTTTTTCCTTCGCTTAGATTTTGTCCCATTGGATTTTCCTAGCAAGGTTTTAATGAGGCAGCATTTAATTTTAATACTCCAAAATAATTATACTCTTTTTCCTTCGTTTGATTTTTTTTCCCATTGGATTTTTATCAAACAAGATTTTAACGAGACAAATATTTTGTAATATGTCATTCAAGGGGGAGTGTTGTAAATGAAAGTTCATTAAAATTTATTGGTGAATGACATTTGTACCCGTGTAACCCTAGAAATTATTACCATTGTATCCCTGATTCTTACCTATAAATATCGGACTTTGATTTTCAATGATACATACAAAAGATTTATTGAGTTTTCTCTATTCTCTTTTCCTCTCATTTTATAACAAAAATGAAACGATCTCACTTTTTATCCTCTTTTATTTTTAATATTAACTTCAAATCATTTTCCAAATGTAAAAAAATGAATGTGTGAGAGTTAATAGATTTAATATAATATTGTTAAAAATGCCCCCCGAGACAAAATCCAATAGTACAAAAGATATGAGTGAGATAGTCTCAACCTTACTGGTAGCCGTAGTGTGAGGGTTTGATTCATGAGATATGAAATTGAACTCTTTGTGAACACCAATGTATGAACAAACTCTTATTTCTTAACCTACTGAGGCACATTCTGCGATTTACCCCCCTCGCAATGCTCCAGGGGCGAGGCGGTGGGACCCTCAAAGTTGGGATTCAACCTTTTTAATATAACATAGCTAAACCTCAAAGAACTAAATTTATTTGAGACAATAAGTAGCCATCATCGCTATATTTTCTGCAGGTGACACTAGTTGGAGGATAATGTACAGTTAGGAATGGTGGTCCAATCACAAAGAATATAATGCAGACTGATTTTGCTTTCACAAATTCAGAGTTAAGAGTCCCATCACAAACCGCAAACAGATATTTATGTTGAAAACCATATATCTTTTGATCGAATGAAGAAATGTAGTATAGAACATAACAGACATCACAGGACGAAAATGGCAGAGTTCTTCTTCTTTAATAAAAAGCTATGAATTTGATTCACTACTGAATTCACTTCCATCTAATAAAGTAGCCGACAGAAACTAAAAGAAAAGGAAGATTGCCAGATACATATATAAATCTGTGGTAGCATACATACATAGCTATTGGCAGCAACAAAAAGGCATAAGCATATTCTTCAACCACTTCCACTCTTTTATTGGAATTCAACCATTGGCAGTGGACTTGTAGTGATATTCATCAATTGTTGAGTAAACTAGACCTTCTGATTCAAGAGACTCAATAGCTTCTCTGTCAAGGGACCCAAAAATCAAGGATGAATATGTTCTGTACAGAGAGAGAGAGAGAGGGAGGGAGGGGGGGGGGGGGGGGGGGGAAACAAGCTCATTGCGATGGACTCCCTTCTCCCGTGCACTGAAATATTGAAAAAACTTCACTAAGGTCTCAGGCTCTTTAGATACTTGAAACAATACAACTCAGGAGATCCCCGAAACAAGAAAATAAGAAGATTTTATTATCAATCGAGACAGGCAACCGTCATCCACTATGCCTCACTAAAATCGCATAATGTTATATGTCTGCAAGATACCAAAAGTGAAGCAAAACAACAGCAGCAACAAGAACAACATGATACCTTTGCACCATAACCTACGACAAAATTTGAAAATATGATGGAAGAAAACCATTACAATCACTAGAAAACTAAAAAGCTGATGTATAACAATGAAACTGTCACTGGGTCAAGAATGCATATGAACCATGTATCTATCAATCACATTTGAGGTACTTAGCAGCTAATCGCATGCGCATGTTGATCATCCGGCAATATATTTTCTCCTATATGCACTATATAAGCAAAAGCATCATAATGAATATCTAATTCCTGGAATTTGTTCCATAATTTTGCTGGGAGGTAAGCTGAGGATATCAATTTTTGCAATAAATTGGCTTGAAAATATACTGGTGACTTTTACAGAACCAGTTCAAGATTTTTTGAGGTTGAGTCAGATACAAGAATTATTTGCAAATTTCAGGTTTATTGCTTCTGGATGTCACGTACTTATTCTTCAACATGTGAAAGTTAAAATTGGCAAAGTTACATAGTCAATCAAGATTGGGCACGGTACGTCTTAATTAACACAATCATTACTTATCCCTTTCAGTGGGAAAAAAGAAGAAATAAAGTAGAAATAATAAAATTAAAACAACATTACAAATGTACTATAATGGCGCCTGTAATCAAGAGAACAATTCTAAATGCTACTACAAAAGTGTACTTACTGAACGAAAACTAATTATTTTCCACGAAGTTTACATATTATCAAGATTGTGGTACTGCTTGCCAGCAGCCCCTGAAACTTGTTTTTCAAAATATTGACCGTGAAAAGACTGAAAACCTCCAGATCTTTTTCATATTATAGAATGCATAAACCCCATCTACAGGTTCCACAGCCTTGATTGTTCTAAAACTTACATCAGAAAGACGAGACCCTCCAGAAGGTGTTACGTACCGATGATATTGTGATACATAGTTACCATCTGTAGAACCAAACTGTTCACCTTGGGGGTGTGCTTGAGTGCAAACACAACAAATCACTCACAAATATGTATGGGAATTTCTGGAAGAGAAAGAAGAGAAAACTAATCTTTTATTAGATGGATAAGTAGCTCATATAACTCACAGGCTTGGTGGTTGGTGCAGATAGTCCAAAACCAATTTATCTATTGCCTTGAGCCCATCCATGTCGTATTGTACAGAAAACTGAAAAGGCAATAATATAACCATCAGTTACTTTAATTAGGAAAAGTAAGTAATCAAAATTGCTTTAATAAATATAGTTTACATTATTGGATGGAGTAGCCTGGAAACCCTTTGAAGGGGTATTAACAGCAGAATTTGGTATGTGCGTAGGAGCTGTGGCTGCATCCTGCAGCTTCTAAGGAGATAAGAATTGTGGGAAAAACATCTTTATGAATACATAACAGGCTATTTTACACAAAAACTTGTTAACGGTTATAAGTATACCCGAAGCCTGGTGTTGTGGCCATGGACATATACACATTCAGCAAAGTGATATGCAATCTCGTTATAGTCTGTCACAGGCCTAAAAATAACAGCCCAGCATAATTAAATTTCTATCTAACAAGGAAAGAACTGCAAGGATTCAAGAATAAGATAAAAAGATTGCATTAAAAACATGACAACAGATATTTTCTCATCCTATGTTGGCTCATGTTTATAATTTTTATACAAAAATTTCGAGGACCCACGAGTACTACCCACTTATCCTTTCTATTTATAATTTAAAACGTTTATAAACACTTCCCTGCCGTGCTATTAATGTGAGAGTTAGATAAAACTGCTGATACATCCTCATTATTCAGCTAAATGCATTTCACTGTAAGAATGTTCGCTTAGGTGTTAACTAATCAAAAGGCAAGAATGTTATAAGATAATACAGGTTCTTAGGAATCATTAGTATAACCATGTGGAGATAGTATTACACCTTATTATGTTAGATGCTGACGGCCAGATCAGAACTGCTGAAGTTATATTAAGCTCTTGTTTGAGCCCCATTTTTGGGGAAAGAATGAATTTTTGAATAGTGTATTGATGAAAAATATGTGATTAAAAAATAAGGAAAAATTTTAGATTTACATGCAATATTATTTTATTGAAAAATATGTAGTTGAAATGATGTCAAAACATTGTTGAAAATGCATTTTTTTCAAAAGAGTGGGGCTAAAATAAGCTTTTCCAAAAGAATAAAACAACTATCAAATTTTTTTAATTAATTTTCTAAAATTTCCACAAAAGCTGGTAGATTCATCATTGGGTTGCTTAAATGCAGAATACTACTCCCTTCGTCTTAATTATATAGACCGAGTTTTCTTTTTCTCTTGTCCCAAATATATAGGCATGCTTCCAAATTTAGAATATTTTGTTTTGTTTCTTTATTAATATATCCTTATTTAAATTTTTCCCACTTACTATGCCAATTTCTTGAAATAATCCAAATACACACATTTCCCACTTCTTGAAAACATGGAACAACTCTCATTTCTTCTTCTTCAAATTAAATTATTCAAATTCTTTACTAATTCCAACAATAATTTACTACTACATGCTAAAAATTAAATAGGGGTAAACTAGGAAAGATTTTGGCAAAAAAGATTTCTTAATCTGTGTGAAAAACAAAACAAGCCTTTATAATTGGGACGAAGGGAGTAAATGCTAATTTTGGATCAGCAATATAAAAACCAATATATCAGCAAAGCCCCATTTACTCAGGTCTTTTATGAGTGAAAATTTTGTACTGCATTATGTATAACACCATCCAATTGAAGTCAAGATAAACACATCACAAAACGATATATAGTAGCGAATAACAAAATTACTATTTGCTTTAAGGGGACTTCTAATTCCTCAATTTGAGCCTCACCAAATCTAATGTACAAAATTCCACATATTGTTATCCAAAAATATGAAATTTTTTCGCAGGTTAAATAGAGTAGACTAAGAGTAGACTATGTACATTATAGAAAATATGCCATTGGTAATATCTTATTTTCATCCAGCAGAATTGTGCCTGCATGTTCGCTGGGGGGAGGGGAGGGAGAGATTTATCGCTAAAATCCCAGGATGCACAATATCAAGTGTTTTACACACATAAATTCAGTAGAAAGCATGAAGGGAAAAAAATCTCAAACCTCAAAAATAGATTTATACGATCCTTACCGGACAGAGTATACCATCAATTGTTTCTTGCCCTGAAAGCCCTTCAGGTGCCCATGAACCCTTACATACATGCCATTTCTATTATATCAACGTATCAAAACCAGTTAGAAACAAGTCGATATAACCACCAACAGAAAGTAGTATATCCAAAAAAAAAGAGTATTACAATACTAGCTCCATTTCCTTAGTATCAACAGCTTCATTTACCCTAAAAATGCACATAGAGACAAAATTTAGCTTGTAAAGAAGCCACAAATTAAAGAAAAATACGGAAGTTTAATCAAACACTTCAACTTGTGGAAAAATCATATCATTGTCTATCGCCAATGAGAGGAGAAAAAAAATGAAATGTGGAGAAAAAGATATCACCATCTATGGCAGTCAATGCGCCCAGTTCCATCATCAAGTGCAAACGAAACATCAGTAATCCTTTCAGCTTTGTCATACAGCATCCCCAACAATTTTACCTAACAAGACCCAATCCAAATAAGTTGATGAATCATATAAGTGAAAAAATAAATGATCTAAAAAATTCAAAAATATAATTTTAAGAAGCCCTACATTGTTCACATCAACGCCGTCTATTAGAAAATTCACTTTGTCATCACTCGCTTGAAATGCTTCGCTGATTTGCTTCACAGTCAATGGAAGTAAAGACTGTGCGTCACGATTCTACAAAACAAAATCCAGAAAGAAACAATAAGTTACTAAATATTTAAGATTTTAGAGCTGTTTAACTAAGATAAATAGCAAAACAACTGTATGCTCTCAAACTCAAACCTAGAATCCAGAAAACAACTGTATGAAAAACTATTCTCTTGCTATAAAATCAATTTTGCAGGGACGAAATTCACTTAGGATAAAAACCTGTTTGGGCTCCAAACAAAGAAATAAGAAACAAAAATATCTAAAAATATCAGCCGTTGCCCTGGTATTTCAAAAAATTGGATAGTATAAAAGATTTGAAAACCCGTAACTGTAAACAATACAGATCTTAGGGTTTGCAGAAATAAGCAGGGAATTAAACGATCAGGGATTTCCTGCGTTTTACTAACGATATAAATAATAGAAATGAAAAGGGTAATTTTGACTTTTCACGAGCATACCTTGACGGGAGAGAAGGAAGGATCGGCAGTTTGGGTGGCCTGAGAAGGCATGAAACCGCCCCCGGCGAAGGCGGCGTTGCCATCAAATTGGCTGTTCTTATACATCTCCCTTTGTGCGAGGAATACCGTAGGATAAACCCCAGATTGAAGATTGGGAAAGGGTATATGTTAAGGGTTCCCGCCATTTTTTATTGTCCACCTTTTTAATTTTTGATAAATTAATTGAGATGTGAATTGATATTATAACCCCCGTTTGTTTTTAATTTTTTGAAGAATGAAAATGAAAAATATAACAGGTGCGAAATTCAAACAAGAGATAAAAATTTAAATTTAATGGCCTAATATGATGGATAACGTTCACATTTTTGCTACTTGTATAATAATAATAATAATAATAATAATAATAATAATAATAATATTAATATTAATAATAAATGTACATAATAGATTATATAATATGTTGTGGAAAAAAATATTGGATGAAAAGGTCAATTATATTTTAAACTAACAAATGGTAGAGTACCACGTAGTATTATGTAATTCATTATGTAAATTTATGTACATATAGCAAGATATTAATAAGCATATTCAGCACCTATTTATAATCAATCGATTGATATATAATTGGTTCATATCCAATCAAGTCATTTTTCATCCATATATTTTTTTAGACTTATAAATATCACTCGCTTATTCATCGTTTATTCAAATCGGTTATAAAAAATTCCCAATTTCAATAAATCGTTAGTAACCTAAGTTCTAAGAATAATATTATGTAGTTTAAGATTTGGGAATCACCGTAGTGGCGGTTTGCGATGGCGACAATAGGTTTTGCAATGTGTATGGATGGGGTTGTGACGATGGAATTAATTGTTCTATTATAGTAATAGTGGTTATATTATCACCGCAATTTTCATTTGATATATTATATTTTAAGTGTAGTTAAGCTCCTCAAACTTTGCTCATCATAACAATTAACTTCTTAACTTTTTTCGTCGTAATCTTATCTTCAACATTTCATTAATTAGTACATTTCGTTCTTTATGACTATTTATATCAAAATGTTTATTTTTTAAAAAATTGAATGAAAAATAAGTCATTTTACGTCATTTCAACAAATTTTTGAACATAACATTATTTTTAAATACAAAACGTGTCAACTAATGGAAAGTTTATGATAACAATGGCATAAAAATTTATTCATGACATACGTGCTAATGAGCAAATATTAAGAACGTTAAATGCAATTAAAATGTAGTGCAAGAAATTAAAATTATTGTGTGAATATAATTATCCTTATAGAAAATATAAATTTATCATTTTACCCTATTGTTTTAGTTTGTCATGTTGAGTCAAATTTTTAATTTTTGGGTTGAGTAACAGAGTAATGGACCGATTCTGTCCATTGTCGTCCTACTACAATTGACGTGAAATGTTTAAGACCACACAAAAAAATTTCCCTATTTTAAATATAGCGACTTTTTAAATTTTAATGCATAGATTAAGAGGGTGTTTGAGTCACATTACTTTGGTAATAATGCATTCTTGAATAGTGTATTGATGGAAAATGTGTGGTTAAAAAATAAGGAATTTTTTTTATTTGTGTGTGATATTAATTTATTGAAAAATGTGTGGTTAAAATGAAGTCAAATTACTGTTTAAAAATGTATTTTTTTTGGAATAATGTGGCTCAAATACCCCTAAATCTGAACAATTAATTAATTATATCTTTTGCAAATATAGCTATAAAATTTGGGTGATTTATATTGCATACTACTCAAAACTTAGAATAGAGAACCAATAAAAATACACTAAACTCGAGACATAAAAAAAACTAATTTTATTGATAAGGATTAAAATTGGTATTTTAATGGATGTTTTGAGAAGGTAAAAGCAAAGTCTGGGAAGTTGCACTTATCAACTCTCTCAAAATTTGCTACCGAATGGTACAGATTTTTTCATAATAAAGCTTTTTATGTTTAGCAAATACTTAAAATAGTCATGTTGGTTGAGAAGGGTTAATTTCACGAACGGTCACTGAACTTATCTAAATTACAAAATGGTCACTGAAGTTATAAACTTGTAAAAATGGTCACTTAACTTACTAGCGCTTTGACTAACGGTCATTGAAGTTTACAAACTTGTAGAAACGGTCACCATTAGGACCGTTATGATTTTAATTCAAATTTAAAGGACCAAAACACGTGAACATAGACCCTTGAGGACCTCAAGTGCAAATTTCAAACTTAAAAAACCCCCAAACCCAAACGTAAACTTCAAAAATAGTGGAGACACAATAATGGACGAAATTTGGGAAAAAAATCATGCCCTAATCATCCAATAAATTGTTCTCAATCCCTAGGTAAGCTTTCAATCAAGAACCCAAATCTTCAAATCCTCCTTTCAAACCACACAAGATAGTACATATTTCTATAATTTTTTCTGTGAAAATCGAAGAGTGGGGACCAAGATCTTCTAAAATTTATTTGACATGTTGGATCTGGAGAAACAAGATGAAGGTTAGGAGTTTTTTTATTTTTATTTTTTTTTACATTTTTTGTCTATATTGTTCGCATAAAGTAACTTTGGACAGATTTTGGAGCTACATTAGTTGTGTCTTTGTGTTGAAATGGCATAAAGACTCCATTAATTTGATTGTCTGTTCACGTGAGTTGGACATTAGTTGGGTCTTCTTCTTTTTTTTTTCTTTGAAACGTTTGTACAGTAAATTTCATAATTCAGTAGGTTCTTACAAATTTTTATTTTTCACTATACTGTCAACTAAGCAAATTTATAATCTCCTATTGTCTAGGTTATTTGAACAGTGATTTGGTAAAGAAGACATCATCTTCAATGATTCCGATTATAGCCTTCGTGAAGATAACGACATTCTCTTTGAGGAAAATGTTACCCAGAATATTGAACTCGATATGAGGAATGAGATAGTGTCGTTGGAAGCAGCTGATGAATCTGACAATTCTGAATATGTACTCTCAGATGACCTTCGAAACATTCATTCTGATAGTGACGAAGAAGTTGTTACATACCTAGAATGCTTGAGGTAGGATTGAAGCTTAGGTCCAAAAAGGAGGTAAAGGCTGTGGTTAAAAACTTCAGCATTCATAATAAGTTTGATGTGGTCTTTCTATATAATGATAGATACAGATTAGAAGGTCGTTGCAAAGGAAAAAATTGTCCACGACGTATTTGGGCTTCACTGTTGGAGGAAGATTCATTGTAGCAAATTAAATCGTTCGAACCGGACCATACCTATAGTAAAGCATTGAAGAATATAAGTATATCGCAAGTTGGTTAGTCCGTAGATACATTGAGACCTTTACTATTGTGCCAAAGTGAGATGTGAAATTGTTTAAGCAATTGTTTTGAAAGAGTATAGTTTAGAGACTAGTAACACAAGGGCATGGAGGTATAGGAGATATGCTAAGAAGTTGCTTCGAGGATTGCTAGTTGGGTAATTTGGTTTGTTGGGTTCGTATGTAGCTGAGGTTATGAGAACAAACCCAAGATCATCTATTATATTATCTTTAGATGAGCTTGTGTTTAAGGCGATTTATGTTTGCTTCGATGCTTACAAAAAGGGCTTTTTGGGTGGTTGTAGGCCCGTTATTTGCATAGATGGGTGCTTCTTGAAAGGCAATTTTAGTGGTTAGTTACTTGCTGCGATGAGTATTGATATAAATGATGTATATTTTTAATTGCACATGCTATTGTTGAAACTGAAAGTAATGCTAGCTAGTTCTGGTTTTTGAAACTGTTGGAGGAAAATTTGATGCTCAAAAATGCATATGGAGTCAGAATTATGTTTGATAGACATAAAAGGTTGGAGAATATGGTGTTCGAGTTTTTTTCTAGCGGTTGAGCATCGATTTTGTGTAAGGCATATGTACTCCAACTTTTTTCGCAAAGATTTTAAAGAGTTGAAAGTTAGGATTTGTTGTGAAGAGCAGCTAAGTCTACCTAGTTGGCTAGTTTACATATTAGATGGACAAAATTAAGGAAGAGGAGAAAACTGCCTGGGAGTGGTTATGTGCTAAACTAGTTGAGCAATGGTCGAAGTCCCATTTCATGACGGCTTCCAAATGTGACATTTTGTTAAACAATCTCTACAAATGCTTTAACAAATACATAAAGGAAATGAGGGGAAAGGATATTTTGACTATCCTTCACTTAATTCAAAACAAGGTAATAGCACGGATGCACAAATGCTACGATTTGATCGCAAGGAGTTTTAGCGATATATGTCCAAAAATTTATTTAAAAAAAATGAAAGTAGTACACGTGATTCTTTTTTGTGTAAAGCAATATTCAATGGGAAAATGCAATCAAGTTTTTGGATCGTATTCTGATGGTCAATTTTTGGTGATTTACAAAGGAGGACATGCTCATGTAGCAAGTAGAATCTAATTGGTATGCCTTGTCCACACGCAATAGCCGGCATCCATGAGTGGGGTAAGGATCCTTTGCAATTTGTGGATGAGAGCTACAAAGTTGAAACTTACTTAAAAGCTTATGAAAATTGCATATGCCCTATGAATGGACAAAAAATGTGGCCTTCAAGTGGCTTCGACCCAGTGAAACCCCCAACTTGGGTGACCAAAAAAAGAGGTAGGAAGCAGAGAAAGAGCCGAAGAGGGGTTGAGAAAGCTGTGTTGTCCAAAGAGAAGATGAAGAAGATTGATAGGAGAGGTGATGGCAAGAAGAGATTGAAATGTAGTATTTACAGTCAAAAGGGGCACAATAAAAGATACCACTCGAACCATGCTTAGCAGGCAAGCTACACAACAAATGAGGTATATACTAAGTCATAATCATATATGTATATCCTATTTTTGTTTTATTTATTATGTTGGCTGACATCCTTTTTCATAAATTGTAGGAGGACATAAATGGTTCGAGGACATGGGAAGCTGCAAGAGCTAATGTTGGACAACAATTTGCCTATTCACAATCGACTACTACTATTGGAATTGAACAAGGTATATTCCGGCATTTTCTTTCTCGGCCTACTGAGAATGCTAGACAAACAGGTTTGGTAGTTCGATGTCCTTCGTACCAAAACCAAGAACCAATTTCAATAAAAAGGGATCTCTACCTCAGTGAAGGCCAAGAGCCAGTGGAAGTTCGAACTCAACGGTAACTCTT